CCACTCGGCTGGCCCTTCTGTGTGTTTTATCATGAAATGGGTGTAGATTTTGTCAAAAGCTTTTTCTGCCTCAACTGAGATGATCATGATTTTTTTTGCCCCTACTGTTCGTATTTTTAGCCAGTGGGCCCAATTACCTCTCTATATATGTAAATTATTTAATTCCATATCCTGCTTTTTGCACTTACAGCATGAAAATCTTTTCATTAAAGGTCATTAAAATTATGATTTCCAGTGGCTATATGTTATATTCTCATATGGATGTTCTACAATTTATTTAAGCCTTTCATGTTTCAAAAATTTCAATATCTCTACTGCTTTAGGACCAAAGTCCCTAGAACTGGAATTATTGGGCCAAAGGCAATGAACACTTTTAAACAAAGAAACAAACTTCTAATCTAAATTTAAATTAAATTTAAAAATCTAATTGATTTTTAAACATCAATGTGAACTTCTACCAGCTCAGTGTCTGTTTAATAAAAGTAGTTGATATGTTCTGTGCTGGCTGCTTTACAACTCCATGACCTCTGAATTTGCTTTCTATTCATCTCTGAAGTTCTTTAACCTTTATTGCTTCTAAGCAGATCACCTCTTTCCTGCCTTCTCAATATTTATTTTTCCCTTTTTTTCTCCATGTGCTCACTTTCTACACAGTCTAATATTTGTTTATTTAATCTCCGAATGAATGACTAAACCTACAGTCAAATGCAAGAAACATGAAGACCTACCAGTAAAAATATTAATAAAGCATACATGTACATTATTACTATCCATGTTTTATTTAGCTTGGGAAGGTAAGGAATTTGCAACCTGGTCAATTTCGGGTTTTTTGTACTTTTCTTTATCAAGATCCATTTGCACGTTCCTGAGTAGGTGTTTTAGGGCTATCTGGAAATATAGCGACACTGAAAAATGAACTCACATAAACCAAATGTAAAGCATTTAGTTTTAGAACATATTAAAGAAAACATTTTCTGTCTCTATTCATTTTCACATTTTACTGTATTTTTTTTTTAACCACTAAGCGTAGACCCTCCCACTCGCCATCCCGCCCCACTTTAAATACACACCCCACATACACATTTTGGCATCGTCAAATAAATTAAAAACTGATAGAATTCTGAAAACAAGGGAACTGAAAAAAAACCCCCCACAATCAGGATAAATATAAATAGGACAGTCATTAGCGGACTTCACCAAGCGGCCACCGGCTGAAGCTCTCCTCCGCGTCCAGGCACCGCGGAAGGAAAACTACGATTCCCAGGATGCTAAGCGCGCGCGTCGGGTCTTGAAACTTGCAGCCTCAGTCCCGCCTCCTCACTGCAGCGATTAGACAGCTCCGTGAATTGCTCTCCTCCGATTGGTGGACTCTCCGCTCGGTCAATTACTTCGGCGGCTTTGGTTTTCTCTCGCGCACCGGTTCCGCCCCGTGCCAAGATGGCGGCAGAAGCGGCTGGTGTGAAATACAGGAGCACTGTCAGCAAAAGCAAAGACCCCTCGGGGCTGCTCATCTCTGTGATCAGGTGAGGGAGGCAGGAGGCAGGGTCAGGGGACAGGGGGCAGCGGGCAGCGGCTCGATCTCCGCTTCGGAAGGGAGAAGGGTCAGCTGGGATCCACCCCGCCGACCCCTCCCTTCCCTCCTTGCCTCCCCCTAACTCCTCCCAAGGACCCCCCACAGGTCCCCCCTTTTCTCTGGGGTTGGACTAGTGGGAGGAGCCTCGCCTCCGTATTTTTTTTTTTTTGAGCCAGAGCTGTGCATTAGGGTGTCTGGGCCCTAAGAGCACGCTGGCTCTTTGGGGCTTGGCACAGAAAGCCAGGTGTGTGCATTTATTCATCCCACGTTTATTTGTTGATTGCCTTCAGCAGCGCTCACTGAGGAAGGGGCTGCGTTTCCTGGGCTTCTGGGGGGAAGGCCCTGAAGTCCGGAGACGCAGGTCACGAGTGGCAGATCGTGTTGTCACACTGTGGCTATCTCCAAGCACCTGTGAATGGCCACAGCCTCACAGGCACGAGCCTGCAGCGAGCTGGTAGCAAGGGCTGTGCGTTTGCAGACACACGTCTCTGTCTATTCCTTAAAGTAAATGTCAAGTTATCCTCCATGCACATTATTTTCCCAGAGTATTTATGGTGAGATCGGCGGGTCTTTTAGGTTTTTTTTGGTTTGTTTTTTTAAGTGAAAAATTTAAGGATGGGAGGACCTTTTCAAACACCATTAAGGGTGACAGAGGGAGTGACTTATAAAAAACATTCTGAATAAAATATATGACACGTCTTTATGTTGTTGACGTTTGAATTTCAACTCAGGTGTTTTTTTATAAAACAACACATTCTACCCACTTTTTTTCTCCCCGCACCTAAGCTAAACTTTTGGTTGAGATCTTCCGGCGGCTCCTGGCGTGTCCTGATCTTTTTAAAAACTCAAGCCTGATAATATCTGATGATTAAGCTCTTGAATAAATGAAAAGATTGAACATTTAAAATAGCCCACCCCTCATGGGCTGATAAAGACCCATTTCATGGGCATTATTTAGGGACCTCTAGTTTAAGATTATGGCATATTAAATCATTATTACCAAAACATTTTTTTAAAGGATTAAGATCACAATTCTCTGTATGGAAATACTTAATATACTTGGTGGGCCATTCAGAGGAAATGCTGTTCAATTGTCGACACACGTTCTTGCTGTGACAATACACAGTGTAGGTGTTTCATGATATTTGAAAATTTGTAGCTTCCCATCCTCATCCTTTGTGTTAATATAATACAGGCATTTATTTGGATTCTTTCTGAACTTGTTTATTTTTTTCCGCCTTGCAGTCCACATTCATTTAAACCGTACATATTTGCTGCCTGTTTTTAGTATGGTGCTTGGCACTTAAACGCGTATTTAGTAAATATTTGTTGAACGAATGAGTGGAGGCCAGTTTTGCAAAGACGAATCAGACATGATGTTATAGTAGACTACTTAAATCATGATGTTATAGTAGCTATACTTGAGGGATAAAATATGTAAGTAAAAGCTATGACGTAAGACTAGAAGAGACAGATGAAATACGGGAATGCAAGAGGACGTGTGATTACTTCCAGGGGAAGTGGATTGGGGGATTAGAGAAGGTAGCAGCTATATGCAAATGTACCACCTTACCTGTGTACTTATGATTCTGTAGGCTTTACCGTTTATTTTATGCTAGAAATCAGTTTTCTTAAATGCAGTTAATTTTACCCTAAATGTCCTATATTTGAAAAAGCATACAAGCCGAGCGAAAGCTTTTTTACAGATACTGATTGAGAAACGTACATTGGTTTTAGTTGCCTTTGTGTTCTTCGGGGGGCATCTCCCACTGTTGGATGGTGTGGAGTGTGATTTTGTGGTTAGTCATCCCTCTCTTATGCCTATGTATATTTATTACCTTCACATTGTCACCATGATTTAGGCCTAAGCGTTTTTTACTCTAACGTCTTTTGTATATTAATTGTTTTCATATTTCTTTCTTTTCTTTGACCATTTGAACAACACTTTTATTTTGTTATGTATGTTACCACCATGGTATAATGGAGTGTCCAGACCTAGCATTCTGGGCAACTTTAGTAAGGATTGGGGTTCATGGTTACATATGACGTTTTTAAGACTGGATGTTGTTGGTTTCATAGTATCGATGGTCATATTTCAGCCTTTCTTTGAGTCACAGGAATTTTGGAGTTGGAGTGAGGGTGTTGTTCACTTTCTCTTCGTTTTCTCCCTTATGTGCTTTTGAACATACTCAGTGGCTTAAATTTCATAAACAGTGGCAGTGAATGAGAGATGGTAGCATTACTTTGCTGTTTGCAGTGGGGAAGAGTTAAAGGGAGAGCACTTCTGGGAACAGAATGAGGAATATTGTTGCCAGGAGAGTAGATTGTAAAAGTTCTCATCTCAAGAAATAAATTGTGACTGTGAGGTGATGGACGTTAGCTAAACATACATGCTGTGGTAACCATTTTGCAACATACACCTAAATCATTGTGTTGTATACCTTACATGAATACAATATTATATATGTCATTTATATGTCAATAAAACAAAGAATGGGGTATGTATATTTCTTGTTAGTAAAAATTATTCTGTCACTCTGAAGTTGCTGCTTTGTCTCTGTTCAATGTGTATCCTCTTTGTTACCTTTCTCGAAACATTGTGTTCATGCTTCTTAATTCCTCCTATAGAACTTTGATTACTTCCTCTTATCCTTAACCTCTATTCAAATTCTCTCAGAGACTGTGGCTTTCCTGGTTGCTTTGGCAACAAGCCTCAAAAAGGAAAACCCATTTGAGACTCACGTTTGTAAAATCTGAGCATACCTGAATTGAAGATGTATCTTCAGGGTACATGGAACTGTATGTGCCAATTGTCTTTCATGTTTCCTTGGACCTGTCATTTTTGTCACAATAAATTACTTGTTCGTGATAGCGTCCACTGTGCTTTGAAAAGTTTGCTTAGTTTACTTTATTTTTTTATATATCACTGAGCAATTGTTTTTCTTTTACGAATAGTGAATATTACAAATTCTCTCTTGTTCAGATATGTAAAAAATATAACTTCTAGACTACATTCATTATGTATTCACATAACAGTTTTTATGTATTTTTCAATGCTATTCCTGTTAGTAGGAAGAACATGTGTTTACACAGTCATCTTTTAGCAGCGGATAAAAATGTAGTACATGTGGATAAGGGTTTGACCTAAGGGCAGAGTAGGTGTAGACATGGGATATCCAAATCTCACCACTATTTCTGGCCATGGTACAAATAATTAAATAATGACTCCATTTTGCTAGTGTGATAGCCCATCACTTTCAAGTATTGAAAAGTCAAAAGAATTTAAAGATGAGGTGTAGCATAACTGTAATGGAAGTGTTACATTTGGGAGATGGGTATTTTTTTAAGTACCTTAAGACTCATAAATGAAATTCTTAACCATTTAAAAAGCACTAAATAAAAATATTTCAGGACAGTTAGCTGTTACAAAGGGTGCACTCCTACGGCTTTGCAGAAGAGGTCCTCAGGTAGTGAGGTGAGGGCGGGGGGCCGG